TGACACAGTTTTCAGCTTTTGATTCCCCGGAGAGAATCTAGCTGTCACAGTGACTGACGGCCGTCAGCCACCTTTACTCTCTTTCTTTAGGTCCGACCACAGCTTGTTAGTTTCAGGCCTGGGCTTTGACTGGACCATTGCAACTCCTTGATTCCTTTTTTTTAACCAGTCATTCTGTGATGGTGTGTTTCAGATCATTGTCCTGTTTTATGACCTAATTTGGCCCAAGCTTTAGCCGTCGGACATATGGCCTCACATTTGGCAGTAGAACACTGTTCAGTGACTGCAGAGTGCCCAGGTTTGTGGAAGCAAAACAAGCYTGAATCATCATGCTAATGCTGATGAGGCTGTGAACAAGACAGACGTGTTCAGTTTTTTTTCTTACATTCTAACCAGTCTGAAGAGTTTGAGAAACAGCATCACAGCTATCTTAAATGTTTTATATTTCTGAATATTTTTTTCTAAAGCAAAACAAAAGTCTCATTCACTATTGTTCTGGGAGCAGTAACATTAATTCGGAGGCTCTGTGTTCTTATCAGGGCTATAAATGCTTTTGTATATTTTTCAGTCGAGACAATCTTGCATTTGAATATTTTAGCAGCTTTGATTAAAACTAGCCATCATCTACCTTGAAACATGACTTGCTTCTGTGTTGTTTTAATGCAGCGAATAATGTCAAAGTCTGCCAGCAATGTGTCTGATTACAACTTGCCTTCAGCTACATCTTTATACCAAATTAATTACTTCAAGCTCATTAAGTCTGCGTGACATATTACTGAGTTTTAACCTATCACCTGCAGCATTTATGTTGAGTCAGAAATTAGAAATGTGCACCATGTAAAACCGAACACGAGGTTCTGGTAACGAGTTTCTTAGTTTGAATGTGATACATGAAGATTCAAACGTTTGTTGATCTGAAACGAAAAGTCAGATTAATGTTCATCTCTGAGCCAGTGTTGTACAGCATTTATCAACATGCTGATATGCTTTATGTATGCATTAGCTGAAGCACAGAAAATCTGGTTAATAKACTAACAGGAGCTCAAATATGGACAAGTCAAAGCCGAAACAAAGCGATCGAAATTTTGTCGCTGATGAGTGAAACACATWTGTTTTTTGTGTTTGTATCTTTGGGAGTTAGTCACTAGAAAGTCCTTGTGCACACACAAAAATTACAACAACAAAAAATACCACTGGAATAAAGGTGGCTTAAAGGAAAGCTAACATTTTTCTTTGCGATGAAAAATTAACTTTTAAGGAAAATATATGGTAGAATTAAACAACAATGGAATCATTTTTAGATGAAGAAGGCATGCAGAATGATGCAGTATCACCAATCTAACATAAAGGAGTTTCAGTACTCTTGTGATCCTGGCAGCTATGTTGTATAAAATATTAGCTCCTGATAGGTTCTCCCATGGCAAAGTGAGCCCAGGGAAGTGATCCAACTAAGAATAATTTAAAGGCCTTGGTGATCTAGGACCACATGCAGCAGGATACAAGCTACTGCCCAGACTAGAGAAACTGAGGCACACTCCTGGAGCCAGGCAGGTGGTGGATTTCATTGCAGAGGGCTTGGTRGTTGATTTTTAGTTCCTGGGGTTTAGCTGGGCCAACCCTGAAAAGGCTCCCTGCAAAACTACACCAAGAGTTGCAAGAGTTTTTCCGGTGTMCTAGGGTTGGTCAGATATATGGAATCAGAATCTGAATGAGCCAGTACATTTATTGAAAATGTGGCTTCCAGGAGCTGTAGACAGAAGGTCATCATTCTGCTACCTGCTCTTTGTTTTACATCAGTACCAATGATGTCAAAAATGATTTCCTGAAATGTAAAACCAGATGAGATTTCTATACAGGATTTRAACCTAGCACGTTTAACATATTTAACAAGCATCTTTCAGCCTGAAACTCCATGTTTGGCTTTTATTCAGACTTCAGCATTCTACTCAATCCAGCCACACATTTTACGCCAGAAGTTAGCATTCAATTTTAATCTTGATGTTGGCCTGATGAAATAGTTAATAGATTTTGAGACATGCAGACCTCGAACAGTCAGGGTAATGTTTTGTCTCCAAAAAGTCTGTTGTCCACTCTCTCTCGTCTCTCARTCATGACGGCAGAGCCCAACGCTTTTTGTAGGGGTGGCTAAACTGGGACTACTGGTCACAWACTGTAAGGGAGGCCCAGAAAATTACCTTTTTTTTCCTACATGGAAATTTTCTCACTTACCTACTCAGGTAGTGACTAATATGTCATGATAATGACCTATTTGAGCARTGCAGTTGAAAGAAGAATGACAAGAATGCTCCCACAGGGGGCCAGCTCCCCCACTGACCCCAGTAGGCTCCCCCGCTCCCTGAGACCCACCCAGGGACTGAGGCCCCCAAGACCTCCTCCTCCTCCAGACAGACCGCCAGGTCCGGAAGACGCCAGATCACGGACAGACAGAGCCCGGAGGACTGCCAGAAACCGGGACCAACAGACCCCCCCGCCCCAGAGCCGCACAATTTTTTCCCTGTCACAAAATTTTTCTGCCAAAGCGGTTAGCGGTTGGGATGGCCAGTTGTTTTTCTGAGCCATCCCCTGGCTCAACCCCTGCTTCACAGTGGCGTGTTGTCTCGCTACTGTATATAATAAACATTTCTAAACAAACAACAGCAAGAGTCACCACACTGACAAACATTTGCTGAAATTTGCAGATTACACAATCAGTTTGCTAAAGGATAGAGATGTCAGCAATGTTAACAAATGTATAAATATATAAAACACAATTTATTGGATAAGAGAGTTTAAATATTTCAGCAGCTGGCCTTAGTCTGTCAGTAATAACACATCATGTTAGAGTGACAGTGCAGCTTATATCATCAGGAGGGGAAAAAACAATGTATAAATGAGTTCAAACATGTAGCCTGTTAAAACCAAAATATTTGTTAAATTTCAATCTCCAATTTGTTGTCATAATAAACTTTTATGAATATGTATAATTGTAAAAATAAAATCATTRTTCCTTTAGATATTTTACAATGACTCAGAAAATAAACCTACTCAAAAGGTGCTCTGGAGCCCCAGTTATTCTCCTTTCTGTTCAGCTCAGACTGTTAATCTTATTTTGCGTTCATTCTTTACTTTTGCTGTTTGTCTGCAGTTGCTTCCTGTCCCTGCTGCTGGTGGCTGCCGTGGTTTGGAAGATCAAACAGAGCTGCTGGGCGTCGCGACGAAGAGAAGTAAAACAAAAATTTACACTTACAATATATGGTGTTTTATAGCTGCTAAAGCACATTTGTCACATTTTGATAATGTTAAACTGCTTTTTAAATGCAATGTGTCTAATGAGTACAATGTAAAAATAGTAAAAAAAGACAGTCTCAAATTACGATAGCGAGATTCGACTTCTCACATCTTTTTGATATATAGTGGAGCCTTTTAAGATAGAGTAAGGAGGTCCATCATCTGGACAGAGCTTTGRGTAAAGATGCTGCTCCACCCCATCAAAAGGAACCAGCTGAGGTGGTTTAGGCATTTATTAAGGATAYGTCCTGGATGCCTCCCTTTGGAGGTTATCTGGGCATGTCCCACTGGGAAGAGACTATGGAGCAAACTGAGAACTTGCTGGAAGGATTGTGTATACTCTCTGCCCTAGAAATGTCTTTGGATCCCCCAGGAGGAACTAGAGTGTCTCTGTGTCACCCTTCTAAACCTGTTGTCATCCTACTTACCAGGAACTAAGTCATGTTTGGCTTAGGGATCAAATATTTATTTCTCTCTTCGACATACACTGTAGTTTTTAATGTCTGTTTTGTTTTTCTTTTTTTAAATGAAATTTAGTTGTTCTCTGTCTCACTGTTTAAAAGAAACTTGCATTTATTCCCATTTATGAAAAATGTGTGTGCGTGTTATGTGCGATTCAGTGTGTGAGTTTACAAGCCATGCCATTTGAAGTGCTGTTCAGCTGTCACCATGCTCAAGTGTGCGGCCTCACCTTTGATTGTCTCTTACCGTGTACCCTGCTCCCATCCCACTCTCACTCAATGCCAGAAATTCTGCTGCACAGATGGGCTTTTTACAATCTAACCTTTACACAAAAATAGTGCTAGAACTTTAAGAGGATCAGTTGCTACAGGAAAAAGTGGCCCAAATCAACACCCACCCACCCCAGCACCTGTACAAGTTCAGTTCTGTTTGCTGTAGTTGGACAATCAGATTTTTGCATTTGCATTTTTACTTTTTAGTCAAAATGCTTTATTTTTCTCTCTAGGGTGAAAATTTCCTTAGGTTGTAAAGGGCACTGCTGCACAGACTAAAAAAGATTCAATACACCACAAGGAACAATAAGTATAATACCAATAAAAACACAAGAGTAAATGATTAATACCAATGAGGCAATTGTTTATATGCTGCGAAAATTAGTCATGCATGAATTACTGAGTACCAGCTTTGATTTTTTTAAATTAATAGCCTTTTAGCAATAGTATTGACTAAACTAAATAAAAAATTTCCATTTTCCAAAACAAATGCTTTTTTTCCCTTCATCATATTTAATACTGTGCCATCTGAMATGTTTTTTAGGACAAAATGTTCTTTGCAAATATTATACTATCACTCATACTAACATTCATTGTGTTCTTAGTACCCATAAAACWCTTGGTTGAAGTTGATGAAACAGAATTTAGTAGTAAAAGAGCTTGTGCTGTTTCACTCTTAATACTGGTGACATTCTGTATACAGGCAAGGCTGGACACTAAGTGGAAGGATACACTCTATTAGCTGAGGCCCTTTTGTTTCTGTGGTGGAACTGAACAAATCATTTGAACAATTTATCAGCATTTATCTGTGGGGGAAAAAGGAACAACTGTAATGTTGCTGTTGCTTCTTTAATGAGAAATGAACAGCTTTGTTTTGCCACTGGACTAACTGTAGGTCTCGCTTCCAAAAAGTCCATGTTTAGAAAAAAATATATTTTTCATTACTTTCATGCAGTGGTGAGCATTAGACCCCTAAAGCACTATAGTGCTGATTGCGGACCTAAATTTCTTGTTTGCACTTTAGGGCTTTTTGCTCAATTCTTTGAACTGCGTGCAGATTTGCGCTTTCTAAATTGAAAAAATCACTTTCACTAAATTAATTATTTTATCAAGTAATGATGTTATTATTAACAGCGGAGGAAGAAACCTGTCTCAAGTCAGTACAATGGAAAACCATTGTATGGAAACAGCCCCCCCACCACCCCAACAATTTGTTCTCRGAAGCTATACAGTCTAGCTGACTTCTGAGTCACAGCTTTCATTTAAGAGACCATATGCCATGTCTATTACTTCCGTAAAAATTCAGGCCACGATGATCACTTCCAGGTCCTGCCTACATGTGCGTTGTTTTTAGCATTAGCTCCTAGAACTAGACCATGAAAATTCATAAAAGTTAACRCATCTGTGAGCTACTGGTATAAAACGTGATTTCTGTTGTGTGCCGTTGTGTCCACTAACTAGTAGGTACAAGAGAGTAGTTTCGTTTTTCTCCATATTCCTCTTGGTTAGGAGTTAAGGCAACAACAATGGATCGTGGCTATACGCAGGGAAAACTTAGCTTGAAGCGAACTCTGGTGTGGTTCAATTGCATGTGTGAGCACCAAGTGGACCKGAGTTACTCATATCTGTCTCAGCTGCCTTGTTTGAAAAAAAAAACAGTATACTCCGCTGTTCTGCCTCATCTTCCACTCACACTGAGCCCATTGTTGAAGACTATTTGTTAGGCACATTTGCCAAAAACAAAAAAATAAATCCTATAACCACTAAAATCTGAAGTGCACAACACGTGTCAAAATCCTTCCTTTTGAAAATGTTTGTGGGTTGCAGAACATGATACAAGTAGGTTTTCATTCTAACTACATACAAAATACTTTGTCTTTTTATATTCTTATTATAACACAGTTTGCACCTAATCTCCACACACTGCTGTGTGCTGTATGGATTGTTAAAATTAAAAACAAAAGCCAACAAATTTCTGGTGAGGGCTTAATTTAAGAACTTTTTTTGTAGTTTAGTTGTGAAACTCTGTGCAAGGTAAAATGCCAGTGGTAAAATGCAGTGTGTCAAGACAGCTGATGCAAACAGAATGTCAGTCAAGTTTTTTCAAATGGTCAACTGTCTTCACCTCAACCTTTTTGCCTCCCAAGACTGTTCTGATCTTTGCAGCACTGTCCCTCTTGGCTTCACTCTTACATTCATCTTTGATTTCTCTGTGTTGCGCCATACTTGCATCAGAGGTACAGCAACCCACATTTGCATCTACTTATTCTCTTATTCAGCCCACTTAGGGCTCCTGTGCAGTGGAAAACGGGAGTTATTAGGGGTGCAACATGACAAAAATTATGATTTGATATACTTTGGTGCTTTGGGTGTCTAGGTTTGGTCTGATTCAGACTTGTTACAGTGAGAAAAAGAAACAAATGGCAAAAATGTTTTCAGGTTTCTTTCTTTCTTTTTTTGTTTTGTTTTGTTTTTGTTTTTTTTTTAGAAAAAAACACGACTCATTTTAGGATCAAAGGTAGGACAAGGTAGGATTTGTCAGTTTGTTAAATTGTAATAAAATAAAGAATAAAAGTCCTAAGCATTTAATTTGAACTGTGAGCCACAGGCCACATATAAAACAATATTTGCTCATTTTTTAAATATATTTTTGTTAAGAAAATAGTACACAGAATGAGTTTGTTTAAATTACTTTGATCTAGACCAGCTGCAAAAGAAATGGCAATCCAAAACTAGATAAAGTTTCTGTGTGAAAAAGCAAAAAAGTCAAATGTATAACACCTATAGCTTCTCAGCTAGGTGAGTGCTAATGTGTTATTCATACGCAGGTGGCACTTCCCACCTGATGGTTTATTTAACGGTGTTTATTAGATGCCAGAGGGTGTTTCAAAGTACAAAAATTATGCTTGCTTTTGCTTTTCAATGCTGCTACCAAAAAACTTTTTTACACCACTGATTCAGAAAACAGGAAGTACATCAAGCCTCTTCATGCAGAGGCTTGCAGGACTGAACATTACCTGAAGAAAATATGATTAAACAAAATTATTATAATTGACTAAGGTAAAGAAAGATATTGTTAAAATTAATTTAGCTAGCACAAGCCCAGCTGGGCCTCTGAATTGTTCCTTGTGCTCACTTCCTGTTTTTAGAATTGCTTTGCTCTCATATAGTATTTGTCTTGTAACGATTGTCCTTTGTGATATGTAGCTGCCATTGCTAATGCTACGTTCACACCGAACGCATTTTGAGCGGCCAAAAAGTGCAAAATGCCTCAAGTTGGAAGCATTATGTTCAGACTGGAACACACTGAGTGATGTTCAGACCGGTGAGAAGTAGCAGCAGCTGCGGCAGCAGGATTTGGGAAGAGCGTCTGTCCTCGGCGGGTGAATTAAAGATAAAATAAAAGCAAATGGCTTTGATTTATTTACTAAAGAGCAAGTGAACGTTGCGTACAGCAGATAATTAACTCACCAGATGATTTAGAGGCGATTTGTTCGGTTGGTTTCGTCACTCCAGAAGCTGCCAGCTGACGGACTATTTTATTATTATTTTTTTGTTCCGAGCAGCTGATCCACATCGTACTGATATATCCTGCCAGAAAATCCAACTGTACGTGGTCGATTTCAGGTAAAGATCTCCTGTCCGTCTGTTTCGGTTAAGTGGGAGACGCGTCGAGCGGCGAAAAGTTCAGATTTTTGAACTCTGGTGGCGGCTGCTTCCGCAGCACCACATACATGGAAAATGCTCCACGCCCCTTCCGCCTTCCTTGCGTGCCGCCCAAAACGTACGTGATGCGACACACGACCCTTAGAGGTGCATCCGCCATAGACTTTGCATGTAAACCGGCCGCTCCTGCAGCTCAAAACGCGTTCGGTGCGAACGTACCATTAAAATTGATGACACTGATGCTGCATACCTGCAGATTTATGACGAGAGAGGGCATGCAAAAAAAAAAAGGATGTAGACTAAGGATGAGGATTTAGAAGTACCAATTCTGTCTACCAGTAGTGCTGGTCTACAGTGACCACTTAGAGCTGGTCATTCTGACAACATTCTGTCAAAAATATGAAAGATAAAATGAGCATGTAACTGGTGCAGTCAACACTTAGTGTAAAATTGTGCTTTTGGTAGTTTACCCCTAATGGCAAAGCTACTTTGATAACAGCGTTTCAAAGACATCTGATTTAGGCTTATTTCTGCTA